ATAGTTTTTTGGTAGGCATAATAACATCATCTGTTCACTTATTATTTTTAAATTTATAATAAACATTTATATTTAAATAGTAATATGAATAAGTAAACTTTTGTTATTGACTACATTTGGTTAGGCAAGAGTATATATAGAGTAAATGAATTTAATTATGTTAATATATATTATTAGTCACTTTGTAAATGAAAATAATAAAAAATAAAGTTTATTATTTTCTTGACATTACTATTTTGTTATTTATAAGACATGATTAATGTAATCTTTCAAATACTATTAAATAAGTATCTTATTAAAATCAATACTAATAAGTTTATTTACAATTAAAAGCTAGTAATAATAAATTTTTATATACAAGTATTGATATTATTTAAAAAAAAAATTCAGTACAAGCATCTTCTAAATTGTAATACTTAATTTCTTTATTATATGATTCAGATTGCTTTATAATCATAGTTTGATTTATTGTTTATATGATCTATATCAATATGGTATGTATGTATATTAACTAAAAAATCTTTAACATAGTTGTAATGTTTTGTTTTATAACATATATTAATATTAAATACTGTTTAACATTAAAATTAAATTTTAAATAAGAATTCATTTTTCATAACTTTATTAAATATTAATAGTTTACAAATTATATTTAAAAATAAATCAAGCTATATATTTATATAAATGTTATTAAAAAATATATTGAATTTAGTAACAAGTAGTCTTTCTTTTTCTTTTTTTAGGTTGAAGAGCTTTATTTTCTTCAATTTCATCTTGTAAATCCTGATTGTCATATAAATCTATATCTTTTTTACTATCTTTATTATTAAATTCTTCTTTGTGATTTTGGTCTTTTGAACTTACAGAATTAAGTGAATAATTATTTTTAATAAAATATTATTTTATGTATTCTTATTAAGAGAATTAGTTAGTCCTTTGGGAATTTAAGTTGTAAAACCAAAATCATCATCTATAAGATTAATAATAGATAATGTATCAGATGTTGCTATTGAAAAATTTTTAGATAAGTTAGTTGGAGTTTTTAAATAATCAATATTTATAGCTCTGTTTATTATTTTATTGGATTTTAAATATCTAATGAGGCCTGATACAAATAGTTTGTTTGTGGTTTAATATTTAAGTCTAAATGATTTAAATACTTAAACTTTGGTGACTAAAAAGGATAGACAACAGTTATATCCATTTTGACATCAGATTTAGTAGTAATAAGATTATATTCAATAGCTTCAAAATTGAAATAGATAAAGTTTTCAATCTGTTTTGGTTCATGATTAATAGTTACTAAGTATATACAATAAGTGATACATATAAGAAGATTAGTTGTATCAAATTCTCAACTAGGATTTCTACTATTAATAATATTTAAATACATAATAGTAAAGTATAGTTCAGAGTTTTTTATAATGTATTTTCTTGAGATAAACATGATATCACTATTCTTAAAAGTATTGAAAGACTGACTAGTAGAAAAAAATATTTAAATTTAATTGATTGTAATAAATCTTTTAAGAACTTATATTTAGTAAGACCATAAGAATATAAGTAATTACTTTTTATAAAGGTCATTATAATAAGTAATACAATATGAGAAACTATTTTTTTATTTTTTTTATTTTTTTTTAAGAAATATAATAATGAATTTATAAACATTGTGATTATTAGGTTAGTTAAAGGCTTTATTTTATATAAACAAGAAATTATTTTTTCTTATTTTTTTTTTGTTATATAGTATTAGGTTTGTAATTATATTACTATTTATTTTTATTAAATATTATAAAAGATAGATGATCTGATTAAAGATCTATATTATAAATACAAAAATATGTTTTTCTAACAATATAATATTAATATGTTAATGAAAATATTATTTGATTCATAGAATGACTATTGTAAATAATTTTACTTGTTAATCATCCCAAATAAAAGCATATTTTCTAGATAATAAATCATTCATAATAATTCAATCATGTTTATTTGTTGGTATAGAAATCTAATCAATATTAAAAATATTAACATATATTAATTATAATGCTATAAAAATAAATTAAATATGTATATTTCT